CACCGCACTGAGTATGACTTTTCCATGCCCGCCGTACACACACACTCATATGGAAGTGGCGGTTTCTCCCCCCAACAACAGTGCATTACATAACTGTAAAACTTATCATAACTGTGCACATCTTATACTTATTTGATAACTACTATATCCCTTGGTTACTTGAACACGCTACACTATTATTAACCAGTGTCCTACCTTATTAAAATATTGATATATGAAATATTTGTATTGGAACAGTTTTCAACGTAGTAATGCTGTAACATATTTCAGCCACTAGGGGGGGCAAAGCCTGACCCCCTGACCCCCCGCAAAATCCGCCTATGCCAGGGTGGTGGTTCCCCTTTTCAAAAAGGAGGATCAGAGGGTGTGTACCAATTACAGAGGCATCACACTACTCAGCCTCCCCGGGAAAGTTTACTCTAAGGTACTCGAAAGGAGGGTCAGGCCGATTGTCGAACCTCAGATTGAGGAGGAACAATGCGGATTCCGTCCTGGTCGTGGAACGACGGATCAGCTTTTTACTCTCGCAGGGATCCTGGTGTAGACTTGGAAAAGGCGTATGACCGAGTTCCCAGGGAGTTACTGTGGGAGGTGCTGCAGGAGTATGGGGTGAGGGGGTCTCTTCTCAGGGCCATCCAATCTCTGTACTCCCAAAGCGAGAGCTGTGTCCGGGTCCTCGGCAGTAAGTCAGACCCATTTCCGGTGAGGGTTGGCCTCCGCCAGGGCTGTGCTTTGTCACCAATCCTGTTTGTAATATACATGGATGGGATTTCGAGGTGTAGTCGTGGGGGAGGGGGTCTGCAGTTCGGTGGACTAAGGATTGCACCACTGCTTTTTGCAGATGATGTGGTTCTAATGGCTTCATCGGTCTGCAACCTTCAGCACTCACTGGATCGGTTCGCAACTGAGTGTGAAGCAGCTGGGATGAGGATCAGCACCTCCAAATCTGAGGCCATGGTTCTCAGCAGGAAACCGATGGACTGTCCACTCCAAGTAGGGAATGAGGCCTTACCCCAAGTGAAGGAGTTCAAGTATCTCGGGGTCTTGTTCTCGAGTGAGGGAACAATGGAGCGTGAGATGGGCCGGAGAATCGGAGCAGCGGGAGCGGTACTGCAGTCACTTTACCGCACCGTTGTGACGAAAAGAGAGCTGAGCCAGAAGGCAAAGCTCTCTGTCTACCGGGCCATTTTCGTTCCTACCCTCACCTATGGTCATGAAGGATGGGTCATGACCGAAAGAACGAGATCGTGGATACAAGCGGCCGAGATGGGTTTTCTCCGCAGGGTGGCTGGCGTCTCCCTTAGGGATAAGGTGAGAAGTTCAGTCATCCGGGAGGGACTCGGAGTTGAACCGCTCCTCCTTCGCGTCGAAAGGAGCCAGTTGAGGTGGTTCGGGCACCTAGTAAGGATGCCACCTGGGCGCCTCCCTAGGGAGGTGTTCCAGGCACGTCCAGCTGGGAGGAGACCAAGGGGTAGACCTAGGACCAGGTGGAGGGATATATCTCTTCGCTGGCCTGGGAGCGCCTTGGAATCCCCCAGTCAGAGCTGGTTGATGTGGCCAGGGAAAGGAACGTTTGGAGCTCTCTGCTGGAACTGCTACCTCCGCGACCCGACCACGGATAAGCGGGAGAAGATGGATGGATGGATGGATTAGTATTACTGCAGTCAATGTTTAAAGTGACGATAATTTTAAGTCTTTTAAATACGGTTTGTTTAATGACTTACTTTAATAAGCAGGAGACATATTGTATGTTTCATCCTTCAGTTTTTATAAAGCATTTTATTTTTCTTTGGAAGTAAAAGTACCTATAACTAAAGCTATTACACAATAAGTGAAGTAAAAAGTACAATATTTCACAATGAGATATAGTGGAATAGAAGTATAAAGTTGCATACAAAATAGAAATACTCTAGTTAAGCACAATTACTTCCAATTTATATTTAAGTACGGTACTCAAGTACATGTACTTAGTGACATTCCACCACTAAGTATCCACAAACTCTCCTTCCTCACCCAATCACAATGTCTTTGCACAAGTTTCTGTTGTTTATCTATAATCATATCATTCACCCTATCTCTGCCTCTCTGTATATTCCTTATTCCTCCCTGCACTGATTTATCATGGCTGTCTTTCAAAGGGTGAGCACTGACATGTCATTGGCTGACAGCCTGACAACACCCACCCAACCATAGGGGTGTGATAGGGGGAGGGGGGAGGTGTGACAGGGGGAGGAGAGGAGCGTAAAAAGAAGAGGGGGTGGATGGGAGATCGCGTAAACAAGGTCCAGTCAGGTCACGCGGTGTTTTCAGTAGCATGAGAGCTTGGAGGAACAGGCTGACTTCTTGCATGTGCTTTGTGTCTCTGTTTGCTTCTTTTGATCATGATAGTATGACATTAAAACTCCAGACCCCCACCATGACTTCCTCCACCTCTTATCTCGCTGTTCGTGTACACTCTGAAGGCTTCTGAAACAAAAGGCAGGGACAAAGTTCCTCAACAACTGACAGGGTCACCTTGAGAACTGGTAATGTCACAACCAGCCAGAACAGGTCTGTTCAGAAAACGAATCTAAGTTGTTCAAAATATTTCCTAGAAACAAGTTAATGAAGAAACACTTTGGACAAACAAAGCTCCATCTGTGTTTTTTTATTTTATTTTCCTAAGCCAAGTCAAATCTCAAAATCTGCTATGACGTTGTGAATGAAAATGCAGACGGTCATGGGGTTGGATAAAAAGATTATTCTTTTGTTTTCCTTTTATCAAAAAGAGACAGAGCATGGAGTTAACCATTAAGACTTGTTTGTGTAAATGATCAGAAGAGGTTGAGGATTGAAGAATGGAGTCAAGGACAAAGCTTAACTAACCGATTATATGTACAAAGAAAAAAAGACCAGACATCAGGGGAACAGGTGCACACATTTTTATAATATTTATTTAGCATTTTAGAAAATTAAACACTTTCTATATTTGCTCCATATATGTTGACTTTGAAAAAGCCAAACAACTTCTTCCTATGATTGAATAAATTCTCACGCCTGGTTCTAACACTCCTTTGATCCCCAACTTTCATAAACATGTGTGTATATTTTTAAGATTCTCTGTGATTTGTTTTTACGATACTCACCTAGAATTACATTTTTCTCTCAGAGTGAATCATAATAGTTAAGATAATCAAATAAAGTCAAACAATTGTAAAATACGTATGAAAAGCAAAAAGACTACATTATTTTAGGATTAGAAGTGACAGTATGTAGATTTAAAGATGTTGAGAGCTTTTCTTAACTGTTGGCCTTCACCTGTCAGCAGACACGTTGACTCATGGGCTATTTTTGCTCCACATTTTTCACATTCCTGTACGAGTTAAAACAGCTGTTGGAAGTATTTTTACCCAAAAATTGCATTTTCAGGTTTTGTTGTTTATAGGTATGTTACGGATACTATTCTATTCCATAAGTATTATGTGTATGCATGTTTGTTGTCTCACTTTTATTCACACTATAACATGACCTTGTAGTATTTTTTCTCTGTAAAGTTGATGTTGCACTGGTAACAGACAACAGGGATCCACATAACAAGAAAAAAAGGGAACTCTAAATCCATGTAAAAAGTTGGTCTTATTTTAGATGGGACAGCTGCTAGTTCTCACCTTTGAATGTGCTTTTGAAGAACACACTTTGTACCAGCTTGTTTTTTTAGGTCAAATTTGCCCCCTGAAATAACAGTTTTATCTATCTCCTTAGGAGTATTCAGGAACGTTGTGAACATGACGACACTGTCGTATAAAGAATATGGCCGCCATGCAGACTGTATGTTTTGTTTCACTGAGGACAGTTAAACACTAGATGGAGCAAGAGTCTTTCCCTTCATTTAGTGCACTGCATGAAGATGAGAATATAAATCCATGGATGTCCAAAGCCTTCATACCAACAAAGGCACCCAAAAAAACGTAATTAAAACAATTGAAAGCTACATGTGTTAGTTATTGTGCCATGCAGATAGGTTGGATTTATTTTCGCAGTTTCCTCAGAACTCTGCTCTCTCTGGATTATTCACAGTAACCAACATTGACCTGCATTGTTTTTCAGTGCTGGCAAAAACAGATATTCCAACCTCTCTGTAGCTAAATTCCTGAACGGATTAATGGCCTTTTTCCTTTTTGATTGTGGCATAAATGTTGTGCTGTAGTTTCCAAACTTTTTTATTATAACGTTTCCCTTTTTTTCTTATTGTTTTACTCCAATTCCTTTCAACACCAGTCAAGCCAGGGGAAGTGAAACTTGAAATAGTGTGTGTTTTGGTATGTGTGTGCAGGTGTAGTGTGTGTGTGTGAATTTAGAGGCCGAAAGGTAAAAAGTTTAAAAGGTTCCCACGAGAACTTTCCAATCGAATGTCTCTATTCAGGAAGTTGTGGCTTCTGCTTGCGTCTGTTCACATCTCCTCATCAGCATAATGCATATCTCTATATATACGTGTGTGTGTGTGTGTGTGTGTGTGTGTGTGTGTGTGTGTGTGTGTGTGTGTGTGTGTGTGTGTGTGTGTGTGTGTGTGTGTGTGTGTGTGTGTGTGTGTGTGTGTGTGTGTGTGTGGTACATTATGTTTGACACTCAGATGTTGCCCCACGTGTCAGGTGGCCCAGACGGAAACCCTACAAGAAGTAGCGTCAGGCCCAGAGAGGTCAGGGAAAAGTCAAACTGCCTGCTTTCGTCAACAAATTTTGTCTCTCACTACACCCCGTCAACTGTCTGTCAACCACAGTCTACACCTAAAGCTTTCGGTTTTCTTTTAAGGAGGACAGAAGTTGTGCTTTTGCAACTAATACGACCTAACTGAAATTTAGTAGCCTGCCTAAACTATCAAAATGTATCTGAATAAAACTGCTTAAAATGTACATGGTTAAACTGTAGTTCATGGTTCAAATATTCAAAGATGTTTTCAAATACCACACAGATAAGTATGACAAAACCACACACAGCAAGTTTTTTTGAAATACAAGGTCTCATATTTAATAAAAGTTAGATCAATTAAAATAACTGATAATGATTCGCAGACAAAAGTACAGAGGTGTTGTTTCTTCAAACTGGAGACTCAGCTCAGATATGGACAGTCTGATCCAAAGAGAGCTGCAAGGACGGCTCCTCCACTCCACTGTGGACACATATGAATATAGCATTGATCTATTTAAAATAACAGATCTCTGACAAAAACAGTTCAAACTAATAGCAAACACTCCTTAAAATCTATTAGGTAAAGTTATCTATCAAAAATGTTCAACATTTTCCAGCTCTAGCGTCTCAAATCTGCGAAGTTGCCGGTCATTTCTGTTTTATATAATTGTAAATCGAATATCTTTAGGGTTTGGGGGGGGAGTTTGACTATTATCTTACATTATAGAGACTAAATCCAACCATGACTAGTTAGCTTCATAAGCTCCAGTTTACTGAAAACAACGAATGCCTTTAATCTCATCATGTAATGAAAATCAACTTGCAGTGACGTGAATCCTTGACCTGTTGCATGGTAATAAAGGCCAAAGAGCAACAGATAAACAGATAAAGCCCCTGCCAGCATTTTTCAGTGCCTTCATAAACGGTTTCAAATCACTGTTGGAAAATGAGATAGTTGTCTACAGTCCGTATCAATGGGGCAGAAGAGGATACTGTGAGTGTGTGGCTGTGATTCATTTTTCTCTACTATTTTTTGTGTGTGTAATTGTAATTCAATGCTCCTTGTTGCCTATTGGTGCTTGGTCCAGCCCACAGGGTTCCTGGGGCGTGTGTTTTTATCACATTTGTTGTCTTATAATGTTTTTATTAGTTGTGTAAGGGAGCTGCATGTATGTTCCTTCACGTGGTATGTATATCAAATAGTTTAATGAGGTGACAAAGTTGATGCTTGGTGATGTTTAGACCATCAGTCTTGAAGAAGGATAGCATAAATTAAGCATTTTTCTTATCTTAAGCATGTTGTTGTTTTGCAGCTGAATTTAATATGTTTTAGTGCACAATAAGCACAATGCATTGATGCATCGAGATAATTGCAAACAAGGCAGTGTTAAGCAGGTGTGTTCATCATATTCACTACAATAATTTAGCCTGTAAGCATGCTGATAATAACCACTTAACACAAAATACAGCTGAGGCTTATGGGAATATTTGTATTTAGGGAATACAATGTATTGGACAAAGGGAAACTTTTACCAATATTTGATTAGAAATCTGATACAAAAACACAAATGTGACTCTCACAGGGCACTGGAAGAACAAGTGAGCAGGATTCATCCTTCTGTTTAAATTATCAAAATGCAATCCATCACGCAGATTTTTCTAAGATGTAGATTGAACAGCATTGCCATCCCAAGAGCCACACCACAAACATGGCTATAAATGAAGGTGACACATGTTTATTTAGATAGATATAGCTCTATAAAGTGAGTTGAAACTGTGAAAGTAGCTTTAAACCAGAGGCCACACACACACCTGAGGACATAGGTGACACAGAGGATGCACAGTGGCTGGTTGGCGCTGGGCCTGGACTTGGAGGAGCGAGCGTTGGGGATGACTGCACTGTGACTCTCCACCCAGACATAACCTCCACCTCTCACCAGCATCCTGTACCGACCGCTGGCCGACTGACTCTTAAAACACACTGCAGAGAGAGAGAGAGAGAGGGAGAGGGAGGTGAAATCCGGTATTTACAGGGGTCTAATGTGTGTGTGCATCTCTACTTACAGTTGAAATGATTTTTGGTCAAACAGTTTGTGTCCCGTGTGTGGCAGAGATCATAGATGGAGCGGCCAAGCAGCTCCTCAGTGCTGTAACCTAGAAGCAGAGTCATTCTGCAAACACATGAAGAAGTAACACTGTGAATTTGTTTTGCAAATATTCTGCCTGATAAGCTCATCTTTCAAATGTACTTTTTATTCAGCAGCAGCCACAGATAGGATTAAGGCTCACTGCTATTATGCAGTTGTAGGTCTAAAATAACAAAAAGGAGAAGGTAAAAGGAGAAGTTATATTTCTCTTAATTTCTATTGGCACGCTAAATTAACCCCTTAAAATCAAGATTCCATATACATGTATATTCTGTATCAGTTTGTTTCGGATCTTCAAGAAAGCGTTATGACTATAAAACATTTAGAAATATTCAATCTCAATCCATCGAATGGAAATATTCTACGTGTCTTGTGCATCATTTACATATTTCCCCCAAAATTCTATTATGCTTGTTGGGGTTTTCCTTTTCCTGTAGTGTGTCATATAGGTTATTGTGCATTTCAATGTTCTGCAAAGGCTAAAATACCAAGGTTCACCCCAGGTTGGTGATCATTTTACAACCTACATTTCAAAATACAATCTAAATTCTTCCTTCCTTACAAATAAAAGTCATATTGATTCCACGTTTTAAACATATTTTTACACCACTGTGGTAAAGTAGAACATGAGCAGGGTAACACTACATCTAAGTGGTTACGTACTAAGAGGTACAAACACGTACAAGACAGTAGGTAGCTGCATAAAAGCTGCATATTTAAATAATTGTGTGTATTTATTTGTGTAAATCACCTCTGGTCACAGTATGTGAACCTCATGTCCATGCTGTGCTGGCTGGTGAAGGTCTGTGTGCTGAGGAGTGTGTGTGAGAGGGGCAGAGGCTGGCAGGTCAGCAGAAGGCAGGAAACTGAAGACGGGGCGACACACACCTTGGATCGGCCCTGACAGTGGAGAACCTAAGCAAACAGAGAGAGAGGGATTTAAACTCAGACAAAAAAAGAGACGAGAAACTGTTTGGTGCTTCAGGTTTTTGTGTGGTATTGTTTTCTCACTAACCTTCCACGTAGCTGACTTGAGGTTGGCGCTTCTTCCTCTGTGTGTCAGAGCGCTTTTTATCCTCATGACAAAGTCCCTCTTTCCACCGCTCCAAACTTCCTCTTAAAAACAAGCAATTCAAAAAGTTGAAGAGATAAACCTGCTTAAATATGTATGTTCCCCTTAAAAAAAACACACTGTACAACCAAAACTGAACATCAATTCTTGTCACATTCTCAACACACACCTGCTGTTACACGTAGATTATTTCTGAGTTCTTCGTGGTCACAGGGGTGAGAAAACTCAAAAATATTGTGTCCCATCAGCTCAGCCTGTCAGAAGATTTAAAGTACATATTTAAATGCAAATCCTGCATCCTAAATGTATACCATTACTTATTACTATCTTGTGTAGAAATGTGTGTGGGTGTGTGTACCTGCGTCAAGCCCATGTACTTGCTGACGTTGTCAGACAGGTAGATCATGTCTCCCTCTGTGGACAAGACCATCATAAATCCCTCCAGGATCCTCAGGTACATGTTTGTCTCTTCCGAGGCGTCTGCATCATACCTTTCTTTTCCTCTTCCTCGCCACATCCTCCGTTGAACTCATGCCGAACCATTTGACCATCTGTCACCTGTCCACATTTTACTTTGTGACTAGCCTCTGCTTTGGTCCCTGTCTTCCCTGACACAGCGAGAGAAAGGAAGGGATTTTAATTATAGTGCTGTCTGATTTATTTATGAATTGTTGTCAATGAGTCCTTTTCTTGAAAAATTACCTCAATATACATGTTTAGTGCGTGCAACATTCATTGGAGCTACGAACAAATGATGTGGCATATTGTGTGTGTGTGTGTGTGTGTGTGTGTGTGTGTGTGTGTGTGTGTGTGTGTGTGTGTGTTCGTTCAGGTGTAATTACTCATGCTCATGCTGAGGACTTCCTCAGTCTAACACTCGCTCAAACCCGCCAGTCTGTGACCACAGGTTCTCACAAGTGTTTTTTTTCCACAGCAGAACATATTGTTACATTTCAATTATAAATCAGAATACTTATTAGAGGTGCACACAATTTCAACATTACAATGTAATACATTGAAAGGATCTGTACAAGTTCCCAAATGTTCTGCAAACCTGAAGGAACTTATCAAATATTGATTTGGGATTTGAATGTGACTCTTCATGGATTGATCCCCCTTGGTGTTATTGTGTTTCATAACTTACTTCATTTCTATATGTATTTAAAGTAAAAAAGGTTTTTGGTTGGGATTATATATTTTTTAATAATATGCATCTTTAAATTAGTAATGGAAATATATTTTTTCAAAATAATTAACCTAAGTGATGATGATCTATGACGATTGATTTTAAGGAACTGAACTGTGAGGCAGAAAGTAGGCTATTCTTTGCCCTCTCTATTGCTATATATATAACCTTTTATCTTAATAATGCGAAAATATACAGCAGTATTTATTTAAGTATAAACTGATAATAAATAAATGCGTAAATATATATTCTTGCTAGCTTTTGTATGATTTAGAAACTCGTCTTATGACTATAGGTCTTAGATGTTTACGCCTTTATTGTAAAATCTTCAACACGTATGATGCGTGTGTGAGGCCCGTTGGTACCTGTGAGCAGTGTGTGCATGCGGATGTAGCTGAGAGTGAGGCGGATCACTGAGGGCTTGTCAAGGTGATCTCGGACAGACTGTTGGAGCGGCAGGAGGCGAGACAAATCTTCAAACACCTCAGATTCCACCCGTCGCCTCCGTCTGGCCGCCTCCCGGCTGATCGCCCTGCAGAGGACAGAGGGCGAGAACAAACTCTCAAAACTAAAGTCATGTTGATAAAACTCACTGCATTTTAACATAGAGGAACTGTTAAAAAAATGTTGTAATTACAGGGTACAACAGAAATGTCTTCTTTGTTTGTGTTTTGTTATTGCTATTTGTATGAATTCATAGACATTTATACTTTCAATGAGTATTAGAATTGCCAAGCAAAGTTCATTTACTGCAACACTCTATGAGGGACTTGGTTTTTTACTTCACTAAATTTCAAAAAGTACTTTCATTTACTTTTTACTAAAAGTTTGGCTTACCACGAACTGCAATTTTGCAGATTAAAATCCAAATTCAGCATGATCTAAACTGATAAAACTTCTCAGTAACATTATCGCATGAGACTGTAGAGAATTTCTCCACATAAATGGAAACATGGTATACTTCAACAAAGATGACGCTGGAGACTTCAAAATCAAAAATGTTTGGCAAGGCAAGGCAAGGCAAGGCAAGTTTATTTATATAGCACCTTTCAACACAAGGTAATTCAAAGTGCTTTACAAAAATGGAAGACATTTTAAAAATGGCATTTAAAATCAGTCATTAAAAAGGAAAGATAATAAAATAAACATTAAAAGAAAAAATACATGGATAAAAGTTAAAAGTTACAGTGCAGTTTAAGATGTGAATAGTTCAATTAAAAGCAGCGGCAAAAAGAAAAGTCTTCAGCCTGGATTTAAAAGTAGTAAGAGTTGCAGCGGACCTGCAGGTTTCTGGGAGTTTGTTCCAGATATTCGGAGCATAATAACTGAATGCTGCTTTACCATGTTTAGTTCTGATAAACATGGTTTCCAGAAGCATAATTACTTCGACTTTTTATAAATTAGGTTTTTACAGCTACAGTAAAGCTTTTTTTCAAAGTTTTACTTCATAGTTTTACTGCAGAGAGGGAAGTTCAGCAGTGCATTGTGGTCATGATTCAGATGCCCCCGTGGCCACACCATCTTTGGGCTGACCTTATCACCTCATTCACCGACATAACTTGCACAAAAAAATTAAACTAAAGCAAAATAAATAAATAAATTGGAATGTTTTTCAAAAGCATTTCAGAACATACTGTAAAGATGCAACACTGACCTTCTCTTCTCCTTGTCGGCTGTCATCGTGTCCAACAGGCGTCTCTATCCGGGGTCATGGTGGCTCAGCGAGATGGAGGCTGTAGGAGTTCACAGCACAGCAGGGAATCTCCTCGCTACAACTTTACACCATCACAGGTAGTCTAATTACTCAGAAAGGCAATTAGTGCTGCCAAATGTCACGAGGCAAGTGATCCCGCAGCACAGATGACTTCAGCAGCGAGTGCCTCCTCTCCCCTCAGCATGTGCATCACCTACAGGAACCCCCAAAGGCGAGCATGATGATAGGTCAGCTGGCCAGGAAAAGAATCAGCCTCCCCTCCCTCTCTCAACTCCCCCCTCCCCTTTCTTCTGCTCTCACACAAACTTTGAAGCATCCCACACAGAACAGATCTGCCTCTAGCATGCAGAGAAATCCATTTTTGAAAAAACGAGGAAGGAAAGACGACACGGTGGAGTGATGTAGACAGCTCAGTGTTTTTATTGGAATCAGACCAGACAGGACTAGCCTGGCTGTTGCACTACATTTTGGCACAGAGTAAGATAGTGTGACCAGGAACAGCCCTACCCCTGGGTGCACAAAGCTTCACTACACACCGACTCTACTGCACACAGAGCCACCAGCTCGCCTTCAGATCACTGTACAGTACGCGCGACAACAGTCGTCCTCTGTGTGTGCATGTGTGTTTGTAAGAAAGAGTGAGAAGAAGAAGAAAGAGCAGGCGAAGGAGAGAGTCTGTATGTGGTGCTTTTGTCTATGTGTGTGATTGAAATGAGAGGTAATTCAGCTGCTGGTTTTCCACATTTCTTTTCGCCCGGCTGTAACAGACCTATGATAGTATAGTTATAGTATTATAGACAAATATTTCCTCCAGATACACTTTACAATAATAATAATAATAATAATAATAACTATAATAAAAAAGAAAGATAGCAATAAGAAAGAAAAGCCATTCTTGATAATTAAAATGTCAGAGTGGTTTTGGCTGAGTGAGATGGCTGATGGAGGCAGGAAAGGAAAACTGGTGCTTTGGAGGAGATGGGAAGGAAGGGGAGGGGGGGCTGAAAACACTGATGGTAACTATAGAAACAGAAATGTTGAGGACGAAAAGTCACACACCAACAAGGAGCAAGAAAATAAATCACGCATTCACACGTACGAAAATGTACATTCACGACAAAAAAAAAGAGAAAACGCCCACGGGCAGACACGCACTCTGAGTAGCAGATGGATGACAGAGCTGGAAATCGGGCTTTACGCTGCTACACAGGCCGCCTGTAACACTCTGCTCCACATAATTAGTTTAATAGCCTGTAACTTGTAAGCTCGACATTCACTTTATACACACGAGACAGGAGGATGATGAGCGCAACAGTTCAATCATACCGCACATTTTGAGGAGAAAAAAAAAGAAAAATATCACAACAAATAAAATATATTGATAGTCAGGGTATTGCACAAGGGTATTTGGCCCTAACTGGTCCACAATAAGGACAGTATTAACACAGGTAGGGTGCTTGTCCATGCGCCACGACTCTCTTTTACTAGCAGACGATACCAACACAATACAGCCACTCAACACAGGCTATATACAGGCCTCTGCCCAGCACCCACTGCACAGTCCTGGTGCCGGGGAGAGAAGCAGTGTAAGAGTGTGTGTGTGTGTGTGTGTGTGCGCGTGTGTCTGCGTGTGTGTGTGTGTGTGTGTTTGGGTTGTCTGAGCATGTGCAGTGAGCGTGTTAGAGTAAAGTTCAAGATTGTAGTGTTGGTTTGTGTGTAAATCAGCATTTAAAGTGTGTGTGTGAGAGCATGTGCGGATGTGTATATTCATATTCATAGTCATATTTATATTCATAATAAACCCAGGCAACAAGTACAACACAATGCAAGTAAAGAATATTCCAAAAAGTAACAACAACCAATAGCTTAAAAGTAAAGGACCGTGTGTGTGTGTGTGTGTTTTGTAAAGGGATTTATGGTTCTACACATGTATAAGTGTCAGCAAAGTGTGCATACGTGCGTGTAGGATTTTGTTTTCTTGGATCAGTGTGTGTGTGTGTGTGTGTGTGTGTGTGTGTGTGTGTGTGTGTGTGTGTGTGTGTGTGTGTGTGTGTGTGTGTGTGTGTGGTGTGTGTGTGTGTGTGTGTGTGTGTGTGTGTGTGTGGTGTGTGTGTGTGGTTGGTGTGTGTGTGTTTAGGTCTGCGCCTCTTCGGGGGCGCAGTAGGAGAAGTCTTTGAACTCCTCCTGGTTGATCTGTCTGATGATGGCCTCGTCCGTGGGCGTCAACACGGGGTCTTCCTTGGTGAAGTCCTGGTCAAAGTTATTCACATCTCGCTTTGTCTTCTGCAGAGGCGCACACACACACACACAGACACAGACACAGAAGGACGTCAGAGAAAGAAACTTCACCAAGCTTTTTGTGTTTAAAAGTGACATTAGAGCGACACCTTCTGACGACTTTCACTCATTACCTTTGTGTGAAGACATTGCTACTTACATGTGTGGCACTACTATAAAACAGGAGATAAATCTATGAGGGGATTAAAACCCCAGTTTAACCCTACTCATTTATGGTTATCCTATATGAGGCCTTTAAGTGTTATATTAGGCTTATCTGCCTTTGAGTTTGTCTTTTTCTGCCTGAAAATCAGCTTTCAACTATCAATTTGCAGCAGCGGCAGAAAGAGACCCTCGATATATGAGGTTATGTATGTAAAGACTAAACTCTGTTTAAGGGGGGGACATAAAAGATATAAGGTTCTTTATCTTTTATTCAGTATTTCTCTCATCCCAGCTAACTGGGAGAGCGTATTTGCTAATGTGACACTTATTTATTAAAATAAAACTCTGAAATGACCAGCTTGCTCTTTGTGAATGTATCATTAAAGGGCCAATACAATGACCAACAGGATGGGAATGTATTTTTACTGCATAACAGATTGTAGTTATTTATTTTTATACATTTTCTTTCTTACTTACTTCCTCATACATCAATATTTTGATTGGAGATATTTCCATAGCAGGGCCAAGACAACGTGATACCATAACAACAATACTTTCTTTGATACTTTCCTGGAAGGATTTCTATGTAAAATAAGACAAGCTATTTGAATGCAACAGAGTTGAACTTTTTCCTTACACAAAACAGCCCTATATTAATTTAATAAAATCAAAAATAAATGAGAATAAGTGTGATTCGAGGACAGGATACATACGCAGTGGCTTATTTGCATTTCCTCTCTTTTGAGGACATTTTGTGAGATGTTCTCACCGTGTTTTACGGCAAGCTGCGTGTTCAGGCAGCAGGACACGCAATACTTTTTGATGTGTAGAGAATAGAATCTTTACATTCTGCATTTTCAAAAAATATTTAAATCTTGGAGTTCTTTTTTTAGTTAGAATCAGAAAGAAATCAATACATGCATCCATATGTACATGGAAACCAATAGATTGTCAGAGTTGTATTAGATTTAAAGTTAATAAAACAGTGTGTGTTTGTGTTTGTGTGTGTGTGCGTGCGTGCGTGCGTCAGAGTTCCCGTTCGAATATTTTTTTGCCGGTCAATATGTCCGTTAAAGTTGAAATCTTCCGGACAAAATTTGAAAAGTGCCGGTCAAAGGTCTTCTTTGTTATTTATTGAGCTTTAAAACAAGTTGATATGATTCGATATTAAACAAACTAATTATAGTAGATTAACTACATTATTCAAAAGTGTACAGTAATTTATAATAACACGGGAATAATAACACGGGAATAATAAACGGAGCGCTCTCTCTCTCTCTCTCCTAGCCCGTCAGTATCATGCAGCTCGCGGATCAGTAATGAGTGACCCGACAGTAAAACTAAACATAGGCTATCTATAACTAGTTTAGGTAGTTTGAGAGGTAATAAAAATAGCTAAATGTGATTTTCTAACCAGAAGTGTGTGTTTTGTTCCGCTCACCGCTGCATGTGATTATGCAGAGCTGCGCGTCGACTCGTCAGCAGCAGCTGATCTCTCTCTCCCGTCAGATTAGACTTTACTCACGTTTATGTCCATATCGATCAGATCTAGCTAGTTCTAGCTAATGATATGACTACCTGCTTATTAAAAGACACCTAAACAATAAGCATCGCTATGCAACCGGGTGAGGCCACAAAGTATAGCGCAGCATTATGCATTTGTTTACATGCCCACCGGAACCCAGAGGCATTACCAACAGATCAACGCACAATCAACCCATACAGGACACTCTTTCTCCACATTAAATGTAAGACATTAGAATTGACTATTCTTGTCTGTCACATACTCTTTTGTCTGTCACATACTATTCTTGTCTGTCACATAAGTGGCGCAACTGATGCGGTATTGCGCTAAGGGGAAATTATTTTGACCGGACATTTTGACCGGAGAGATTTAGATTTGCCGGTCTTCAGCATATTTTACCGGTCATAGTCCGGTAATTACCGGCTAACGGGAACTCTGGCGTGCGTGTGTGTGTGTGTGTGCATGTTACTTACAATTCGGGGTTTAAAGGGTGGTTTGACCTTCCTCTGCTCCAGCAGGACCCAGTCGATCTCTCTGAAGAAGGCGTGGGCTTTGATGGCCTCCTCGCAGCCCTGCGTCACCACACAGCCCAGACGCTTGGCCGGGTTCTTAGTCATGAACTAAAAACAAACAAACAAACAAACACAATACACACTTTTGATTTCCAAATATATCTTCTGAAAACCCTGCTTGAGCTGTGGTTTCATGCATAAAATGATGAGGACAGAAGCAGAACGATGGGGTTGAGCAAAAAGCATTTCAGTGCTAATAATAGAGCCGAGGCATTAATGGCTCCGCGGCACAAACAGAGATGAAACAGGTCAGCAGAGTGCTGGTGTTATTTATTTACTGTGACTGAGAGCTGTGTCTGTTTTGTTCTGTAGTCTGTTCAGTATTGTAAGAGCACTTCAGGATCTATGATTTTATGATCACATTGTTACTACCTTCACCTCTTTGACTGACTTTTTTATTCTCCTCGGTATCAGAGCACAGAGGATCGTAACACCTCTGCGTTGAGTGCATTTTGAATGAGTCTGATTTGAGCGTGTGCAGCTCTGAGGATAGAAATATAAATATGAAAAAGGACAATACAAAACATCTAGCCTTTGAAAGTGTGTCAAATCAAAAAATATGTAACCTAGCCCTAGTAAGCGCCTCCTATGCATTAGCATTAAATTCAGGTCAAATATTGGAGCATCTGATTTTCAGAAGGAAAGAAACATTTGGTATGTACAGTAGAAAAACACCTAAAAAACACTTTTAAACACCTGGATGAAAACATCTTTTTAATTGGTTCTGTTTTCTAGACAAAGATACCTGCTTTGATTCATTTGAACCAAATATTTATATAAATATATGTTTATTTATTTTGTGTGTTATATAAAAAGGGCATACCAATTTTCTTATTTACAATACATTTTTTTTCTATAGACGAGTCCTTTATGATTCCCAAAAATATTTCAAAAGAGATCAAATTATTGTCGAAAGACCTTCTCGGTAATTTGTTTTTTGGCTAACTTAAGCTCTTCTACTCAGATTTAATGGTTGTATTTGAGAGTAAAAAAATGACAGTTCATTAACCCAACATGTCCAAAAACTGCCACTTTGTATTCATGCTGTCTTGGTATTGAAAAGTCTTAAAAGTAATGGGATTAGAAACAAGTTCCAAACAGGGCATTTCCCTACAGTAGATCATCTGATTGGGAAAATCTACTGATTTAAATTATTCAAAATGTGCCTTCGAGGTCCTGCTGCAGGAGAGGATATGCACTCTTGGAGGTAATTTAATTGGCCTTTAACTAAAAACTTTAATCCTGTAAAGAAAAAGTTGGAAGTGGTGTGTCACGGTGAAAAGACTCTTACCGCTCTGAGGATAGAAACTGCTTCTTTGCTGAGCCACACGGGGTAGAGGACGTCGTCATGGAGAATCGACTCGAACAAGTCATCTTCATTATCAGCTTCAAACGGAGGCTGCCCGGCCATCATCTCGTACATCAGCACGCCCAGAGCCCACCAGTCCACCGAGGCTCCGTACTCCAGCTCCTGAAGGATCTGAGGCCAGCAACACGAGGGTCAACATGGAGGACAGCAAATACAAAATACTACAACGCAGATACTAGACAGACGCTGGCATTGCAACTGAATAACTTCTAATGTTTATCACATTTTTTGTAGCTGAACTAAGTCATTTAAAGAAGGAAAACAACAAGGAGGACAAAATAAAACATAATGTATAGCTTCAATGGCAGAAAAAAGGAAGGAGCCACATCAGGTTGGTAAAATAACTACATTACATGTTTGTACCGAAAGAGATGAAAAGTTACCAGTAAAACTATTTAAAGTAAAAAATAAAACTGTAGTTATTTCGGCTCCAATTTGAGAAAAGAAAAGGCAGAAGGAAGGAATGATAAAATCAAGGAAAGGAAAGACAAACAAACAGAATAGGAACAAAGTTAAAAAAAAAAAGATCGCTTGAAAAGGTCGCTTAAATCTCAAAAACATTGGCAGATTAATAGATAAGGAAATAACTCTGAGCTTCAGCTGTACCAGTGACATTAAACTCTGTAAATGTACTAAGACAACAGAAATATAACGTTCAGCGTCCTGTGAAAAGCTCAGCTCACCTCAGGGGCGATGTAGTCAGGGGTGCCACAGAAGGTGGTGGTGGTCACGCCGTTCTTGATGCCCTCCTTGCACATGCCGAAGTCTGCCAGTTTACAGTGTCCCTCTGCATCCAACAGGATGTTATCCAGCTTCAGATCCCTGGGAGAGGAGGACAGAAAGAGAGAGAATGAGCACCATCTGGTTTATAACAGTTGGACTCTCAGGGAGAAGTGAGCAAGCAATGTGAAAAAAAAACTTGAGAATCACCACGTAATGTAAGTGTGAACCATGTTGTCATGCCCCTTCTGGTATGCTCCTGATAAGATAAGAACTATTCGCACATTTTTTTATAGCCTTGAAATATTTGTAACTTTTCTGAACTTACCAATGAGGATTGACCTCTAACACCAGACCGAATGTGAATACTATGAAGAATCTATTAGTTATTTCAAGCTTCACAAAGACTTTAGATGTCTTGGGATGAAAAAGAGTAAGGTGGTGTTGGGGGTGTTTACCTGTAGATGACCCCGTTGCGGTGCAGGAACATGAGGGCTGAGGTGACTTCTGCGGCGTAGAAACGAGAGCGAGGCTCATCGAACTTCCTGGATCGCTGAATCTGGAACATCAGGTCGCCTCCGTTCACATATTCCATAACAAAAAACAAACGGTCCTGCAGATAAACACAAAGTATGAGACAGAGAAAACTATCAAAGTGTGTGTGTGTGTGTGTGTGTGTGTGTGTGTGTGTGTGTGTGTGTGTGTGTGTGTGTGTGTGTGTGTGTGTGTGTGTGTGTGTGTGTGTGTGTGTGTGTGTGTGTGTGTGTGTGTGTGTGTGTGTGTGTGTGTGTGTGTGTGTGTGTGTGTCTGCCGGGCGCTCCTACCCGTGTCTGGAAGCAGCAGTACAGCTGGGTGAGGTAGGGGTGTCGGCGGGCAAGGGCCAGGATGCGCTTCTCGGTCATGGTGCAGTCCACGTCATCGTCCTGCAGGATCACGTCTTTCTTCAAGACCTTGACAGCGAAAACTTCCTCTGTCCCCTTCAGCTCCGCCAGCATCACCTGGGAAGAAAAGAAATAAGGAGATGTCAAGTCAGGAAGGCTGCACGGTAAAACAAATTTGCCCTGAAAAACATCTGATAAAATGCTCCGTTCAGTTTATGGAAAATAGGACATGAAGGATAAAAATAGGTGCTCTTGAAAGACTCAAGTACTGATTGTGTTCAAGGAAATCAGGGTGTAAATACAAAGATAGAAAATTGTTGACTATTTACACAACCAACAGACACAGAAAAACATTAGCATGCATTTACAGCCATTTAGAGAACGGACATTCAATATCACTCTTCTTTTAATTCGATTTTGGTGTCCACTTCAGCTACTTCATCTTCACCAGCTGTTTGCTAACCTTGTCTGTTTGCTGCTAGTTTACGTTTTTTTGCTAAAAACAGTTGCGTTCTGCTAGAAAGAAGCACAATAAAAGTGGTAAGAGTGGACTAAAACAGAAAATAAAACAAACCAATGGGTGCTAAAACACTTTATAGAGGAACTGCAGAGTTGCGTTTAGTCATTTTATTAGTTGTTAATATAGAAATATTGATAAATGCAGTGTTATAAACTAAAGCTGTAAAGCTTTAAAAGCGTGGTTTGGTATGCAGTGAAATGTAACGTGTAAAGACATCTGCCTCCGTACAACATAATTGACAAGTGTATTGTTCTATTCTGGTCCCTGATGCCTATTATGAATAATTATGAACAGGCGGTTAAAAAAACACTGTTTCAATTATGAACATAATAAGCAGTAAACAAACAAGCATCCCCCTCAAACGCCTTCTCCGTGTGGCCGCACCTTGCCGAAGCTGCCTTTGCCGAGAACCTTGATGAAGTTGAAGTCCTTGAGGGTCCTTCTCTGGATCTGTCCGTTCTCCCTGCCTGCCGAGGAGGAGGATGAGGAGGAGGTGGTGGAGGAGGAGGAAGAGGAGGAGGAGGAGGAGGTGTGTTGGGGTCCCTGCTGGTCGAGCGACAGCGCGTCCTGCAGGCGCACTAACTGTGCCAAGTCTGTGGGTGTCAACGGAAAAGCTTATAATAAGACATCAGCGAAAACAGGCTGAGTGTCTTTTCTACAGTCAGCCCGTTGTGCAATGTGTTTTTAAAGAGATGCTGCTTATTGTTCAAATCTATCATTTCATTATAATTAAGATGATTAGATTCATAATGATCAACCCTAATTAACCCTAACCCTATGTTGAAACCTGGGATGAATCAGTTACAGTTAACCTGATCAGGGTGGTCAAACAGCAGCAGTGCGTTGTGTTTTTGTTCCTCAACATTAGGCTGCATTAAAGAAAATAAGAAATTGGATATCTTCCACAATAGACAAAGTAAACTTTTATTTCACGGTTTGCAAAGTGTGAGAGGACGATGACTAACTGTGACAAACAAATGGTTGTAGGCGGTGGGGCATAATTCTTTGATAATGTAAGTATATATTTACAAGGACAACACCACATTCAACCACTAATTTCTTAAAGAGAGAATCAATATTATTTCTGAAATGGAAACACTACCTCTTACAGGTCAAATGAACACGTTAAAACCACATGCTGCTAAGAATGCATCCCAAAGAGCTTTGAAATGCCTGTTTATGACAAAGCTGTGTTTTTTTTGACTGAGTGTGTGTTGTGTTCAGCGTTACCCTGCTGTGAGGGGGAGGTGGGGACAGCTGTCTGGCTGAAGCTGTTGTCCTCAGTCTGGGAGAGATCAGGAGGAGACTGGGGAGGGTCCTGCCCTGGAGTCAACTGGAGAGAGGGGAACACAACATCTTCAAATCCTTTACATGAGTCAGGGAGATCAATCTCAGCATCTCAGCTAAAGGGAGCTACTTTGCATCTCCCAAAAATACACTGAAGCAGGATAAAAAATGTTTTACAAAGCCATACATTTACGAAAAACAGTATAAGTGGTACATTAACGAGAAAAAAGTCATAATTGTACAAAAATAACTTAATCTCCGAGTTTCTAGTTACAGCCTTGCAGCTACATGCCTCCGCCAACCAATCCGGTCACAGTTTGCATCCATGTCTTTCCAAAATGTCATCACGTAATTTTATTGTATTTTACATTTTTGTTAAATTGTCATTATTAGCATAGAAATGCTTCAGTGATAATAGACAAAATTGTGTTTAGTGAAGTCCCAGTGACCTTAACATGAGACAACCGAAATATAATCAGTTCATCCTTGAGTTAAAATATGTCGGAATATGGTCTGCATTCCAAGAACATCAACGTTTCTGAGGAATCCCGTTTCATGGTAATGGAACGTACGAAATCATAATGGATAACAGATAGATAATTGGAAATGTTGTGTTTTTGTTTTTCAAGGAAGCACGTTGCTCTATTTTGCAAGGTTGGGTCAACCTTATCATGCCGCAGACCTTATCAAATTAGGATTTGAACTCATTTTTAGCAACAAATTGTAGATTTTAGCCCGTAAATCCCTTATATAGCCGACTATTTTTTTTTTAAACGTAAAATGTCCTTAATTCGCCATTGTACACATGTGATTGCTATCTGTCATTACTGATTGCTTTTTAAATGAGACCCCGAATTTGTTGCCAAATCTGGGCAAGTACCAGCAGGGAAACAGGTTTTTATTTTTCAATATTTAACAAGGGATGAATGTACAATTTATTTAGAAATAAAAAATAACGAAATTATTGGTTTGAACTGCAAAATATGTTTCAAATGTTGAAATAAAACCTGGAAATATCGATGGAAATATTTGTATTTGTGAGAACGACTTGTTACCTTCCTTCTGCGCAGTGCGGTGTTGGAGATCTTGTCAGGCGTGACTCCGAGGTCAGCCAGGACCTTGGCGATTCCTCGGGCATCCACACCGCAGTTAGGAGCTACATTGGACTCACACCGCCTGTGCACATTCATCTTACACACTGCAGGACAACAAAAACACATGGAAATGGTTCAGTTTAACCCAGGAAATACTGGCCTTTTAATACAAATGTTGCCTTTTAGTTAAAGACATCAAACTCCACTGGCAAATGCAATCAAGAGCAAATTGATGTTCATTAAAATACCATAGACTTATGAATCATACTGTACCTGGTTACCCATGGGTTTTAACTTTGGAAATATAAAGTTAAGTTAATATATCAAAGATTTAAATGATTTATGTTAAGTTAACTTCAGCCAGTAAAACACTAGAATGGTGTTTTGGAAACAGCTGTGAGTGAAAACCTCACACGTTGCAGCATGTCTTACCTCTTTAGAGGCTGAATTTACTGTATATAGAATTGCATCTATCAATTGTCATTATCCATTCATCTTTTAAGATTTATTTTCTTAATACATTTGTTGGGGTTAAAACTATTCTGAAAGCCAAGGTGGCCTCTTAAAATAGCTTGCTTGGTCCAAACAACAGTCCACAACTCAAAATATAACATTAAACATTATTATTATTTGTTTTACTTTAAACATTTGAAAGGCTGCAGGTCCCTAGAATCATCAAATGTTTCAAATGTAACTTGACTGAACATTTAAATTGACTACTAAAAACATATCTTAGTATAGAAAATATATGTATACAAGCAGACAGATATTCATAGGATGATACCTGATCATACCTGATTTTGAGCAACACTTGTACAAAGCATTTTTTCTAAATGTAATACAAAATCCTGGATGTGCTCCAAAAACGAATTCCCTTGTTCTCTGGCCTATGAGCCAACATTTAACCATTGTTTTTCAACTCACTAGGAAACAAGCAGGATGAAACAATTCTTGGCAGGGATACAAAGGCATGTGTTGGTATTTATTATTTACCTGTCATGAAAATTGAACTTTTAATTTCTGTGCTTTCATAAACTTCAGCACATTGACACTCAAATGCATCGCATGTGAGCCGATGGTGTAAATTCCCCACTGCACCTGAACTCACCTTTGCATTGCAGGCCCTGCCTCATGAGGCCCCACAGCAGGGAGCCACAGTGGTCACAGAAGGTGGGCACCTTGTAGTTGTGAATACTGAACTTATGGGGCATGTTAACACTGAACCGCTGTGAACCCACCTACAGAGGGAGACACACACACACACAGACACACAGACGGTGTTACAAAGAGGTCATTGTCGCATTATCGGAGGAATAATGCATGCGGCTGGAGTGTTAGTGCACAGTGTACACATGTTAACTTAAGTAGAAGATTTATTCACAAAAGGCCTGAGTGCTTCTGTCCATATTCTGTTTTTCTGATTCACTTTGTGTGTGTTGGATATGTAATAAACTCTTTATTAACAAACAATTCACTTTCTGTGCTTACATCTTTTCATGTATTACCAACATACTCTCTGTGTACTAGGATGTTTGCCTGTACCTCCTCAGGTGTGTCCTCCTGCTTCTTCATCCCGGCACACTTGGTGATGATGAGCTCATGGCAGCGCTTGTGGACGACACACGTGCACACTGGAAGCACAGCATCAGCATCGCACGTAAACACATTTTCTTAAATTAGGTCAAATAAAGTGTACGTGTCCACTACTTTGACCTGGTAGAATTTTTTTTTACGCTGATTTAATACCACCCAGACTTAACTGAACCACATTACATTTGATTAAAACTATTTAAATAATAGAATCTCATAACTTCTTAAACTTAAAATTTGATTTTACAAAGCCTCAACAAAGTGTTGCTAACAGTAGGGATACACCGATTGTGAAATACTTGGCCGATACCAATGTTTAAAAAAATGTGGCCAAATGCCCATGCTGACAACCAAGTCTTTTGTTGTTTATTAGGTTTTTGATGTGTTATTTATTCATCCTTTGAAACAGGATTTCAGTTATGAGAGGAATGTTATTTAAATGCAATTTCATAGCCCAACAAATATGATGTTTATGAAACTTAAATTAAAAAAGTTAAGTGTTTACAAAGACAATTGACTTACTTTTATTTGTACATTAAACACCTGTTGTCATGCCAGTGTTGTGTGCAGCCAATGGCTTCTTCTCTGAATCAGCAGCTGCAATAGCAGCATGCTAACTACTGTTGTTGGACCCTGATCGCAAATAATTTAAACAACATTTAGCCATCGCAAAGTTACTGCAAACCAACAGAGGAACACTTGCCAGTGAATGTCATTCTCTATATGCCTATAGGTCGATGGCAGTCAACAAGGCAAATATTGATACCTTTGTTCGGCATATCAATCTGTGCATCTCTAGTATACACAGTTTAAACTGAAGAAAATTATATCAGATTAATAGTCATCATTTTGGACAATCCAGTGAAACCCTGGATCACTTTCAATGAAAACATATTGAATTATTTCTACAATATCTAACCAGACAGTTACAATTAATTAATAATATATGATTGTAATTCCTTGTGAACCTCGTCTGAGCAAAGATTAAGTATCACATATATGAGTTGATTCACACTCCCAGCTGAATTTTTAAGGATGTTTGCAGAAAATATGTATTAAAAAAAAGTGCAACTGAGTGAATGCTCATTAGCATTCTTAAAGTGGATGCTGTTGGAGTAATGCAGGCCATCTGTGGCTCTGGGCGGAGGTGGCTTGAGACCAAATCACAGCTGTCCTTCAGCAACATGTAATCCCACTTGTGTTCTCCTGCTTAAATAATAAATGATCGAAATTGGATTCCTGCAGAAAAGTACTCACCCTGACACTGGTATCCCTGCTTCCCCAGCACGCCCCTGTTGGATCACACACACAGGAGGTTGGTTTAAATGAAACTCAGCAGCAGGTACGTCAGATCAGGCTGATATGTGCTTGTGTTGCCTTACCAGATGAAATCTCTGCAATGTGAGCAGTAGGTTGGTTGCCTCAGGTATGTGGCCATGAACTTGTGTCCGTTGACTTGATGGACACGTCTTCGGACGGCGCCCTGTCGCCGGCGAGGGCCAATCCTCTCTCGAAACACCCGCTCCTCATTCTCATTGGTCCCTGTGGCTGTGGAGTGAGCACACATGTCAATGGGTATGAATCTAAATGCATCACTGATTCTTGATTATTACTTTCAAAGTAAAGTTATTGCACTGGAAAAATAAGAAAAGAAACATTACTCTGGTCATTTTAAGTGCTTTAGCTTTTCTTTAAGCTTTTGAGGAATATGAAAAGAGAATGATAAAGACACAGAGGAAGATGGTCATGTTAAAAGTCTCACACCAACATTTTTTTAAATGTACAAACTTTTTTTTTGTTACGTTTTACATTTTGTTTCACATATTCTTTGTTAAGGCCCATCAATTTTACTTACTGAGATGCTTTGTACAAATAAGGATCATTTTACATCATGTTACTCGAGATGTTTAATCATTCAACGGCCTCTCAACCCCCCCCCCCCCCCCTTTCCTCCCTTCCTCTTCCTCACAAACATCCCACACCTACCAGAGGCCTATGTATGCATACGTGCGTGTGCATGCTATTTATACTTTCATGTGTGGGCACTAAAACGAAGGACAGCATATTAAAATACTCCTCCTCAGCGAGCAGCATCCAACCAGCCGTTCCCTTCCTCTCTGCATCTCCCCGGAAAAAGATAAATGGTTTCCGAGGGTAACCTTAAGACAAGAGAACCACCTCCACTCTCACTCCCACACACACTCCTCTCTCTGCGCTTCTGTCCTAGTTCGCCTTTCTTTCACACTCCCTCCATCTCTCTCCCGGGTCCGTTATAGATGTGGTTACTGCTGAGTTCGATTACAGACAAGCTGCCTAGGGACTCTCTCTCTCTCTCTGTGTGTGTGTGTGTGTGTGTGTGTGTGTGTGTGTGTGTGTGTGTGTGTGTGTGTGTGTGTGTGTGTGTGTGTGTGTGTGTGTGTGTGTGTGTGTGTGTGTGTGTGTGTGTGTGTGTGTGTGTGTGTGTGTGTGTGTGTGTGTGTGTGTGTGTGTGTGTGAGAGAGATGGTGGTGGTGGTGGTGTGAGGGGGGAGACAGCTTAGCAGGCCATTACTGGGATCACTTTGTTTTACATAATACATCATCCATCTGTCCTGGACACACACACACACACACACACACACACACACACACACACACAGACACACACACACAGGCATGCTGACACGGAGGCATAACAACAGTTAAGAGTGATCGTCGTGGAGACAGACGTGCTCTGGTTCAGATGAATGACCAACTGGGAGAAGGCCGTCCAATAAACGCACACATATTGACGGACAGAAGATAGACATTTGACGGAGACATGTAGGCGAGCAGCAGGCAGCGGAGACAGAGAAGAGGGAAAGCTGAACTGCAGATGGTGATACAAACAAATATGACAGAAAAATGAATAACAATACAAGCGTGGCAGTAATCCATCTGCTTCCCCAATAATAATTGTAGATACATGTATATACAAACATCTAGAATATGGTTGATATTCTAAAGGAATCAAAAGACAAGATAACTAGACAAAACAATAGATATTCTGCAATATTCAATTAGGTTGCAGTAATTTGAGGTACTGGGATTGTAGCAGCTCCTCAAACAATCTTTCAGGATTTAATAAAACAACATTTTGAATGTAAGCAGTTGAGATTATAATTTTTTTTACATATTTTGGATTTTTCTTATAAGGTTTATAAGACTTTGGATACATCTGAACAAAGTCACCTTAAGATTGAAACACTTTTGGCTTGTTTTGTGACATTAGTTTAGTCGAGGTTACATTAACTTGTATGGCTTATGACACAGCACTATTAGAGGTTAAATGATTATACGACAAAATAAAAACAAATGTAGGTAAAACTGCCTTAACAATAGGCTGAGGTATAATTTAGTGTGTAGATACATAATAAGCATTAAGGGTGATTTGAGAAAATCATGTGTTGATATGTTTCTGACTGTTTTAACTGGAGAATTATTTCACCATTCCTCCTCATACTCTTTATCATAAAGCCCTTTTGATAAACAGTCATTTTGCTTTTGCTCTGTTATTTCTACTTTTAAGAACTTTGAAAACTTGTTTTTAAAGTGGCATAAAGATGACAAAGATTACATGGTATTATTATAATGTTATGCCAAATTGTAGGAATTTAAATTATGCACTGAATCTATGTCATTCATTTCCCCAAAACAGTGCCAAAGGGTTATTTATTATGGATAAAGATATAAAAAGTAGACTTTTAAAAAGTATAGTTGTTTCGTAAAAATAAAATGAATTAAACATTATTCTTGTCATTAAAAGTCTTCAGTCATGAAGGTTATCTTTTAATCTTGGGGGGATGTGAATAAAATATTTAAAAGGGAAGCGAAAAGGATGAAGAAAAAGAGAGGGAGAAATCGCAGATGGTGAGATTAGGTCAGATTACTGTTTTGATTTGCTTCCTGAGACCAACAGATGTACAAGGAGAGGAGAGGAGAAAAGAGGAGAGGAACGACTCCTTCCAGCCTCTGAAGCTGCAGAGAGAACAGATTGCACCCAGGGAAAAAAAGGAAAAAGAAATCTGCTAAAAATACCACCTCATCCTCTAGTTCTCACCCTCAAACTCTCCATCCCTCCTATCAGCACACACACACACACCATCCCTCCTATCAGCACACACACACACCATCCCTCCTATCAGCACACACACACACCATCCCTCCTATCCACACACACACACACACACACACACACACACACACACACACACACACACACACACACACACACACACACACACACACACACACACACACACACACACACACACACACACACACCCACACACACACACACACACAACACACACACACACACACACACACACTTTGTTTTTATCAGCATACATTAACATCATGAGCACTCATGCCAGCTGAACTCAGGGAGGGAGTTCAGGAGTGGGCGGGGAATGGGTTGTGAGGTCATCACAGAGTACCCAATCGTCGATGAGGAGGGCAAGACACTGACGCTTGAGTCTGCACATGGTGTGTGCAGAGTGTGTGTGTGTGTGTGTGTGTGTGTGTGTGTGTGTGTGTGTAATCCATGGCTCAATCTCACCTACTATTTTAAGAATCTACTCCCTCTCTCTCTCTGCCCTCTACTGCGTTACACTGCTGCAACCTCAGACAGACACACACACACACACACACGTATATATATATACATTCTGAATATACATGCACACTTTCACTGGAAGGCAAAGAACAGTTTCTATTTATAACCAGGTGTGAACGTACCCAGGTGCAGGTGAAAACCTCTCTTATCAGGCAGCAGATTGTATGTGTGCAGAAAAGGTGTGAGAGGGATGTATTCTAAATGTTTTCATGGTTAATGAAATCAAACAAATAGAGGACAAGGAAATGGAGAAGAACAGAGTAAAGGAGAAAGTTCTTTGAATTCTGTTGAGTAACTTTCGGAGAAAACAGGAAGTTATCTTTCCATCGCTCTCTATGGCCTCTAGGTTTAATGCAGTAAACTGGCAGTGATTGCAGAGGATGTGTGCGTACTAAATTATGCTAAACCGGCAAAAACTGTTGTTTTTTTTCAACTAAGGGGCAGCGAAAACAAGGAGTGAACACAATATTAACATATTTATACCCTTTAAGTTGCACATTTACACATCCAGCAGTTACAGAGAGACATTATCATTCATTTGGAGTCATGTTTTGTCCACCTGATGAATATAAGTCTGTTTTACTTTTAGCACCGCCTGAGGTCTCTACCAACGCTTGAGAGGAATATCTGACGGTTTTAGCTGCAAAATGTTCCAATATGTTCACAGGCTTGTCACCTTCTGTGTTTTTCTGCAGTTTGGTGCTGAGCAGGTAGTATAAAGAACATTTGTACAGCTCTTTATATAAACACAGTAGCCTGCTATAGCCAAAGAATGACACTATGAGACTGGTGATGGCCTAACCACTAAACAATTAGCTAAAACTCACAATAGAGCTCTGTTAAAACAGACGGGAGCTTCAGATATTTCTCTGTAGGATCATACTATGAGCCACTGTTATAAAGTGTTCTTACTTTGTCATTTGATGTGGTGTTATTATTATACAAATATAAATGAAAGCTGCTTTAAATTCATGGTAATTTAACAAGACCCAATCTGATAAATCCTTGGGGATATTATGGAAATACAGAGTAATACAAGGCATGACATTATTTAATAATATAAAATATACATATATTCTTTTATTCTACCTTACCACCTGCTTGCACCTGATGGACAAACAAAAGTGGGTGTCATATTTAAGCTGTTTTTTTTAATCCTCACCAAAATGTCACCTGTACAGCAACGCTCTTTCCATCAACAATGGATCAAATTACTTTGTGTAATGGCAAAGAAGTTCCTTATAGTGACGAACCCAGATCATTTTCACTGAAAGCTCTATGAAGTGTTTTCAGCAGCTTTCCGCTCATACTTCAGGTTTTTTTATGGCTCACAACTTAAATGTTTTGCCTAACCGTAGCAGATAAAGAGCCAGATTATTTCCCCAAGAGTTAAAGCAACCAAACCAGTGCGAAAAAAAAGGGGTGGATATCAGACTTACTTCTGTCAGGTGCGAAGAAACACATCTTTAAATGCATGCTAATGTTCCCCAGTGCTCTGGGAGTGTAAATAGGCAGACGTTTTCCATATCTAGTTTGCTTAAAACTGAACTATCACATACCACTGTGTCTGCATGTGTTTGAAAGTGAGATTCCCTCAGTTTTAGTAGAAGAAAAAAAAGGTCTTGTGGTGGTTTTACCTTCAGTGGAGGATCCGGACAGATCAATGACCACGTACACCTTCCCCTCCGGCTCCAAGTCAATCTGCAACAGACAGAGAGAAACACAATGTAAATCAGTGAGAAATAACCCAGCTGAACAGAGAGTGCAGCAGGGGGCTTTCCTCCAGCACAAACAAACACACCAGAGCACATGGAAGAGGTCATTATCTTCAATACCATTACACTCATCCCCACCACTCACTGTCAGAATCTCCATTACTATTTTCATTTCTATCCTTAACATCATCACTGTAAAGCCCAATAAATATATCTGATATTTGTAACTGATATTTTTAGATAAATGACTTCTTATAACAGGGCTTTGCACCTGGTGTTTATAAGCATTCTTGACTGGAATCTGCCCTTTTGATCTGATCTCGATGCGAAAATTAGGTAGGTGGAGCTGGCAGACTTAACAACAAATATGACTTGCTGCTGAAGCGGTTCAACTTGTTTTATTTAGCTGATGAAGGGTTTGTCTTGCTTCAGGAAGCAGAAAGAGGCAATGTTAGGAGGCTTACAGGGGCACCAATGATGGATGGCAAGCGAACCAACATTTATCAGATGTCTTTCCGGTCAAATTGACACACATGTCCATTTTTACCCCCTGCAAGTCCAAAATAAGCACAAAGTGTGTTGTTATATAGATTTAATGAACCATTTTACTCTTGATGTGATTTACCTGGGGCAGTTGTGTTTTTGATATACATGTAGAGAGAAAATGTAAGTTATTTAATAGTCAATGCTTTAGAAGCATACAATTGAATTTACCTTTTCTGAATCAGAACCGCCCAGAAAATTCAAAATAAATGGTGAATCTCTAGTGTAACATGCTTGGTGTATCTTTTAATAAGAATGCTGTCTGTTTAATTAAATCATATTTTGATGGAAGCCACAGACACTCATCTATAGTGAGGGACCTACAGTAGGATAGAGGCCGGGTCTGATGGTTGAAAGAATACAGAGCTAACATTGGCCCTTTGTTCAAACCCACCTTTTAAATATTGAAAGCAGAGAAAACAAAACAAATAATTTAGAATTTAATAAGTATTATTTAAAGTATGAGGTCTTATCATTAGAAAGTGGAATATGATTATGTCAATTAAACTGATAAGGCCACAGCTGATTTAGTAGTGTATGTTGCAGTCATTTTCTTACAGATGAATCGTGGATATGGTGAACATATTAAACAGCAGCAATAAAACAAGCTAAGGGTTGTAAAATACATTGAAAAATAGTAAATAAATATAAAAAATATAATATTCCCAACAGTCAAAGCAGCTTTTTAGACAAAATGTCGTTGTGCTGAGATGAGTTTGCAGCCAACACATTTGCTGCTTTTTTTTTTAGATCACCAGCGAGCCCAGTCCTCTCTGTCAGCCGACTATAAAATGGTAAGAATTGATTTTTTGTGTTATACTCATTGGGGTGTTCAGAGTAGCCAACCACAACAAAGACTAGTTGTTGGAGGATGACTAAGGAGGGAATACCTGCGTTATAATCAAATATTCCTCATTAAACATGGCATTAATTACCAATTAATGAAAGCAAATGAAGTCACCATATGTATGTGTGTCAATCATTAAAGTTGAAAGATATTCATTAGCAAACATAATAAATTACCCATCGGAATGAGTTCTGTGTGTTTGAGCAGGTGCCATCGAAGAGAAATACATTGTCCTGCTCAGACATTTTGAGATAAGCAAACATTCAATCTGCATACGCACAAGACTTATTCAACAAACAATGACATCACCCTCCCTTCAATACACAAGTACAGAGATTAGATAGAGTGCAACAGAGAGCGCTGGAGAGACATACGACACAGGAGGAGAGAGTGCAAGAGAGAGTGAGAAAGAGAGGTTTAAATCCTTAGTTAAGCTCTGGGACAGCAGCAGATCCTCTTATGCAACGGACACACACAGGAAGCAGCACACACACATACATGTCCATGCATTGCTGAGTATGAGACACACAACACCGCATAGGAACTATAACAATAGAATATAAATACTTATCGTCTACACAGTAAATCTGTATGCTACTGAAACACATAATATCAAATCAATTACATATGAAAACCATACACAATATAAGTCACCTTTAAGGGAGTCGCAGGTACTATATGGTGAGATCAAGGTGTAATAAATATATTTAAAGTGTTGTATCAAGCCAGCTTTAAATGTTTTAACTGGCAGTTCTTACTGATCGAAATATTTGGAGGCGACAAGGACACGCAATTTTTGCAATGGATGTTTTTCCATCACACGGGCGATTCTGTACCTTAGCCCTGAGGCAGAAGCTGAAAGTGGTGATTTAGAGGACGGCTGTGGCCATGTTATATCACGCACACTGCATACAGCTCATGTAGAAACAGCAGCAAAGACACAAACTCATAGGAGAGGAATTAAGATCAGCACAACTCGGGAATCATCTGGTAGATCATATTGCATTTCAGCAGTTATCTCTAAAACACTGACTATCTGCAGGTTGAGAAAAACTATGCTGTGACTGTGTTTAGAAATGACAGTAATATTTTTGATTGAATACTTGTGGGTCTCTGAAAAATATCAAGGACTGATTGAAATGCAGCACAGCAACAGGGGATTCAAAATGACTGTGGTGTGCTACACAAAGTACAATATATTTGTATTTGAAATCATCACTTTGAGCTTGATATAGCTAAATAACATTCGGTCTACCTACGCTGTAAAATGTATTATCTCTTACACACGGCATCTATTGCACTTCTGTCCGTCCTGGGAGAGGGATCCCTCCTCTGTTGCTCTCCCTGAGGTTTCTCCCATTTTTCCCCTTAAACTGTGGGTTTTTTTCTCCAGAAGTTTTTCCTTGTACGATGTGAGGGTCTAAGGACAGAGGGTGTCGTTTTCTCATACTGATATTCTGTACAAACTGTGCTGTTATATTTGCTGTAAAGTGTCCTTACTGTAAGGTAATTATTATATGTACAGCACTTTGGCTCGACCAAAAATCGTTTTAAAAATGTGCTATATAAATAAAACTTGATTTGATTTTGATTTAAAATAAAGTTGAAGAAAGAGTATATAGCACATATGAGCATAAGCGCTGTATCAACCTTTTGTTGCATGTATAAAACATGACAACAGCATGGGATTTGTGACCTATAAATGCCATTGCGTTCTTGATGTCTACCCTTGAAAATGATGTGCTAATCCCCAAATGTAACCTCTTGCATAACAGTGCATCTCAGCGGGGATTTCAGCTGAAAGATAGACTCAGAGTGATTTGGAACAGAGTGGAGCAAATGGACAACACCATCATTGATTTAGAGCTCGGGATCCCGCGGTGGCATGCCAGCCAATAACTGAACTGTTCTCACATCACTCGTGTCTGGGCAACAGGCCGGTGTGGGGCCTTCAAGCTTGTATTTTCTATCCAAATCAATAACAACTACTACTCCACAGATATGTGTATTAGAAGTTGTATTAGGCATTGCCAGAGTTCAATTTTAATTTTTGACAGAATGGGATACTTTCTACTGCATTTACAGGCTGTGGAAGTGTAAGTGATTTCAGAAATGTAATATGAAATAAATCTATGTGACAAATATCTGACACTGATTTTAGCTATGCAGTTATTTCTATGGAAACCGTTCTAATACAGTATAACTATGTATCCTAGCAACACAGTCCTATGGTTGCACTGCTGCCTTGTTTTGGTGGGAGCTAGTAAAATACTGTAGCTCATAACAGAACTGCTCAAAAGTAAAGTACAAGTGTACAAGGGAGTGTTCGATGAATTAGAAGAGGCTGGTACCTATTTATTTGTATTATTTAACATTTCATTGTAAGAGGAACTGGCTAAATCTACAGGAGAAAATTGAAGTATTTTGTAGTAAAAAACTAGAAGAGTGCTGCTGTCAAACTTTAAAGAAGGTTAACACTTACTAACATAAATTACAACTATAGAGACAGGGTGGCTTCTCATTAGCATCTCAACATGGTGGTTTACACCATCTAAAGAACTGCAACTTATAGAAGAAGAAGCACAGGGAGTGCTAGTTACACTAATGATGGTTTCTTTCCATGTTTGTGTCTTGAAAAGCCGAACCAGTGAGCCAAAATTCAATATAAACTGTTATTTTACTGGCCACCTCAATTGAAACCTGTTTTAGTTGTTCTGGTTCCAGCAACGTTCTGGCTCAATGGCACCATCGTTAACGTTATAAGTCACACCTGTGCTGTTCCTGCTCTGACAAGTCAACATGTCTGCCGTGAGAAAGCTCTACGGTCTCAGATTTCTGTGATTGTAAGCTCATCTGTCTCTGTTTGATCAGTGACAAACCATTTAACTACATAAACCCAACCCTTCAGCCGGTAATTCAGGATAAAGCAAACACTAATACACATGTAGTATTTTGAATGAACCTCCCTCAGGCATTTTAACGTAATAAAGTCAACAATGGGTTGTACTGGGGCATCAATTAGTTTAATTATAGGATGAGATAATACGATTTTAAAAGTTGAATAATTACTAGTCTGATTTGGGCAATGTGACATTACATTGCTATTCCGTATTGCTGCACTTGACTATTTATTAATAATAAATCAAATGATTTTGTTATAATTGATATGCAAAAGGAAGCTTTTTGTGATGAACCAGAAGAATCATAACTTGACTCTTCAGTTCCCCTCAGCTATGCCCAGCGTTTTAGCACCTTTTAACTCATGTTTTGTTTTTCCCCCTTTTCTGCTATTGTACGTTTTTTTTATGAAAAAGCACTAAAACCCATTGTACCCTGCCTGCCCTGAACCAGACAGATACAACTGGTTAGCTTAACGCTGCATTTAGCAGCTAAAGAGCCAGATATTTCTTCATAAGTTGGTGGAGACCAAAAACAGTTCGAAAAGAAAAGTGAATATTTGACTTCTATTCATCAATTGATAATGTTTCTGTATAAGTAAATGAAAGTCAACTGTTGGCTTACAGTTGGCTGGCAACTTTGGACAACATTGGTGATAATATTTGATTAAAATAGCATTGATGTGAGGAAAAACCTTG